GTGGGTAGGAGAGGCTCAGCACAGCTCCAGAGCAGCTGGTAGATATCTGAGGTGTGTGTGTTCCCATGTGGCTCCATGTAGCTGAATGCAGTTTTCATTTCCCTAGTGTTTCTCATGGTGGAAGAATGTAAGTGGGGGCGAAATTCATAATGCACAAGGCTTTCCCTAATGTATACATCAAGTTGAAGCAAATGTGCATTTTCAAAACAAGTATTTTAGCAGAACTGACAGGACAAAGGACAGAGCAACATGCTGGAATGTACCATGTGTGCAATCAACAGACTGCAGACTGGGAGAAATTCTCGAGGTTAAACAGCTGAGGTTCATTAGTAATAGATAAATGTAAGGAAAAGAAAGAGATGGAGGCAAGAACCTGCAGATTAAAAGAGACTGAAAAAGCATAACCAATTTTTTTAAATGGGAAAGGCTATAGTGCTTAAGGATACATATTTGGATGTTAAAACTATAAGGAAACATTAAGTGCATAGTTATATAAAATTCGGGGGAACGGTTCCTTCTGGGTGAGAGAGGGGCTTGACAAGGAACTTTGGGCAGAGGCCGGCAAAGTTTCTTTTCTTGGCCTGAGTAGTAGTTAAAAGGGTATTTGCCTTATAATAACTTTATACATTAGTTTTCTGTGGCTTTTTGTGTCTATATTTTAATACAATGAAAACGTTCTGGAAAAAAATATATATATATATATATTTTGTTGTTGTTGTTGTTGTTGTTGTTGTTGTTGTTGTTGTTGTTGAGATGGAGTCTCTCTCTGTGACCCATGCTGGAGTGCAATGGCATGATCTCGGCTTATTGCAACCTCCACCTCCCGGGTTCAAGTGATTCTCCTGCCTCAGCCTCTTGAGCAGCTGGGATTACAGATGCGTGCCACCATGCCCAGCTGATTTTTTTGTGGTGTTAGTAGAGATGGGGTTTCACCGTGGTGGTCAGGCTGGTCTCAAACTCCTGACCTCGTGATCTACCCACCTTGGCCTCCCAAAGTGCCGGGATTACAGGCAAGAGCCACCGCGCCCGGCCGAAAAGATATCTTTATTGAATCGATGGCCACAGTGAAAGGGAAAAGTAATAGCTACTTTCCTTCCAAATTCCTGCAGACAGCTTTATCAAATGAAAGCATGCAAGTGACACCATTCCTTTAGTCATTCATAAAATACTAAACTCCAAGGTAGGTTTCCACATGGTGCTAGGGCCTGTGGCAACAAAGATGGTATAACCGAGTTTCTACTCTGAAGGCTTGTAGTGGTTTTGTGCAGGCAGATGTTAAAACAGATCAACTACAGGTGCTGTGCCAGTTGCTGTTAGAGAGGAAGGAACTGAGTGCCGTGGGAAAAGAAAGAATAGCTGCCGGGAAAGTTGGGCGCGGAGGCACAGAGAAGCTTTGAGTTGCATCTGTAGCAACACATTGCAGATGGGGAAAGGACTCTCCTGGCCCCAATCCCTGATGAGAATCCACTGTACCTCTCCACCCCACAGCCATTATCAGAGCACCCAAATACTTTGTGCTTGGAGGCACAGCCTCAGATGGAACATAGGCCTCCTGTCCAGTAGGGGATTGATCTGTTCACTCATCTCCTCGCCTGACCCCCTAGACCCCCCTGAGTCTCTGCTGATTATCCCCCGCCCCTTCCTCAGACTGTTGTAGTATTTGGTCTCCAGATAGAGTGTTTGCTGTCCTCACTGTGCCCATGGAGTCCCAGTGCGTTCAGTGAAGTGTTTATTATTCGGTTGGTCTGGTAGCATAAAATTATAAAAAATCCAGGAAGCAATCAAGTGGGAAGGAGAGATGTTCCAGAAGGAAAGATGAGTAACTGTGAAAGTGAGAGCACGGCTAGTCCTCAGAACAGCTAAGGCATGGGTCTGTCTCCCTCATCCCTTCACCTGCCCGGGAATGTGAAGGCAGCAGCCAGCCAGTCCTTCCTCCACATTTCTCTCATGGGGTCCTATTTCCATGAGATGCAGAATTAAAACCGGGGCTGCAAAAAACTGCAACCACAAAATTCACTTTTATTAAGCTTAACACAAAAATAATGCAATAAATAATGTATCATTTAATTAGATTATTATTTTATAAACGAGTTAATTTTTTTTTAACCTAGGGAAAGTCTGTTTTGCTTTGTTTTGAATCACAACTTTTAAAGTCCTAAATAAATAGGCTTCTTCTACTCAGGCAAGTTTCAGCTATTGGTTTCTGTGTAGGTTGTTCCCACTCATACTTTATCCCTGGCAGACACACTCAGGAGAAAATAGGCTTGAATCAAACCTATTTACTGACCAGTGGCCTCACTCCTCACCAAACAAAGAGGACAAAAATTCCTCTATGGGGGCTTTCACTCTATTTAAACCTGAAGAGGCTCAGCTGCCTTCAGCAGTGCTGTTTGTGCATTTTGTTATCATGGAAGTATAAAGCAACTTAATGTTTTAAGTGTTAAATGAAATGTACCAAAAATTTACTATTAGAAAAAAAATCAGGAAACTTTACATTAGTAAATAATTTAAAAAAAAAAAAATTATAGCTAGCCAGGTGTGGTAGCACACACCTGTAGTCCCAGCTACTCAGGAGGTTGAGACAGGAGCCCTTGAGCCCAGGAGTTCAAGACCAGTCTGGACAACTAGCACAATGCCTTCTCTAAAAAAATTAAATTTGATTTAAATTAAAATTATAGCTCTTGAATTTTAGAGCTTTATGGAAGCTTGAAGAGAAGTGAAAAGAGGCAGAAGGAAAGCAGAGGGGTTGGGAAGATCGAGAAATACCGAGGTGAGCAGACGGTTAAAGAGTTGAGTCGGAGAGACACGGCAGAACAAAAGAACATGTAAATTACTCTTGTAATACTTTATGTCTGCAAAGCTAGTTAGAGTTAATGGTTATTTCTTACACATCATTTTATTTGATGCATACAAGATCATGCCAAGTAGGCCAGTTATGGCATGACCACTGAGTGGTTTCCGTAGGCCCTGGCATTACTGCCTGACTGGAAGTAGCATAGCCTCAGGTTCTTAAGATTCACATACACATTCTGGACTTAGAGAATCCACACATAGTCATTTAGTTTTCACACTTTTTTTCAGGTCCATACATTTTTAAGTTTCTAAGTCAGCGACTACCTGCACCTTTTAAAAATATAATTTATTCTGTCCCTTTATAGCAATGCTTCTCAAATTGTCTCTAAGGATTTCCATGCTCTCCTAAATAAATGTGTTCAGGAGATGAGAGAGAGGGCTCTAGGAATTTTTTTTTTTTTTTTTTTTTTTTTTTTTTGAGACTGAGTCTCTCTCTGTCACCCAGACTGGAGTGCATTGGCGCAATCTCAGCTCACTGCAACCTCCACCTCCTGGGTTCAAGCGATTCTTGTGCCTCAGCCTCCTAAGTGTCTGGGATTACAGGCATGCACCACCATGCCCAGCTAATTTTTGTGTTTTTAGTAGAGATGGGATTTTGCCATGTTGGCCAGACTGGTCTTGAACTCCTGGGCTCAAGCGATCCACCCACCTTGGCCTCCCAAAGTGCTGGGGTTACAGGTGTGAGGCACTGTGCCTGGCTGCTCTAGGCACTTTTTGAACTATTTTATACATGGGCTTTCACATAGGTACCAATTTTTTTGATAGGTATTATGATTAACTGCTTTAAAATTTCCCACAATCACAAAATTTTTGATAAAAATGTTACAACTCTATCAATTTTCTTCCCAATTTTTACAGAATTTAAGAAAAATAAATCAGAATATGTAGAAGCAATGACAAATACCATTCTATTAAAACTCTGAATCTTTGCTGTGGGCAGATTTCCATTTCATGCAATTTTCTGTGAAATTAATGAGCTTTTTTCTTTATTTCACTGAAATGAATAAGGAGCATCAGCGTAATTATATAGACTTATTTGTTCAAAAATGCCTCATTAGCATTTCATAAGGTTTCAGGGGTCTTTATTCAGTTTTCAACTTAACAGGCTGAAAGAAACTACCCCAGGTATGGCTTAATCACTTAGTTTGCTTAGTTTTGAAACTTAAAATAGTAACAGCAATTGTAGTTTAATAAAATCTTATAGACAGTTAATATTCATATTTCTCAGTTATTCTCAGAAATTTATGAAGTTATTGAATGAAAATTTTCACTGAATTTCTCATCCATTATTTCATTCTGTGTATTTGAACTTGGAGGCAAAGCTGGGAATGGTACGTCTTCAAATTGGTTGCCTGATAATCACCATACAACTCCTTTTACTTCAAAATCTTACGCTAAAATAGCTATTGCTTTCCACAAAATCTTGGTCGGTCCAAACAAGGTTTCAGATTAAAATTTATTTGAAGATTACTAAAAATAAACATAATTAATTTCCTTTCATCATCAACATTTTAAAACTACATGGAATGGGAAAGTACATGGAATGGAAATCTGCCCAAACATTTAGGGCCACACTTATGCCAATCAATGTGCTAGGAAGCCTGGAGCCAAAGCCACGAGGAGACACGGTTCCTACCTTCACCTACTAGAGAAGAAACGTCATGTAAACCAATAATTACATAGAGTGTTATAAGGACTGTCCAAGAACTATGTGTAAGATGCTTGGGGTTCAGGGGAAAGGTCAGATCCACGAAAGACTTCTCAGAGGTGGTGTTTTTAATGAGCGTGGTGGTAGTTTGAAAGAAATACCAAAACAGCACGAGAAAGTTTGCTGACCTTTATTCTTGATTAGAATACTGTATATATTTCCTTGTACATTATTAATTTTCTTAGCACACTTGTTTATGGTAGAGACAAACTAAAACTGAATGCTCCAATAGTTCTAATGAGGTTTTACAGTTTATTTTTTTTAACAGCCCATTTGAATGTTTGAAAGTAATTTGAAATAAATAGAGTATTTACAATTTGGAATCCATTGATAAATATGATTGAGAGTGTTACCAAGGGTTCTATTTGTTCCTTATATGTTACAATAAATTGAGATAATAGAAATGTGCTAATGACCTACTGATTATTGTCTTTCCCAGATGAAAACTTTTCAGTTCCTCATAATAAAAGAGGAGTACTTGGAATGGCCAACAAAGGCCGTCACAGCAACGGGTCACAATTCTATATCACACTGCAAGCAACTCCTTATCTAGATAGAAAATTTGTGGCTTTTGGGTATGTATATTGTAGATCTGTCTATATAATATTCACACCTGTAAAAATGTCATTTAAAAATATTTGGATAAGTATTGTATATAGTGTATAGGTAGCTAAAAATAGGGCTTAAATGCAAAAATAATACAAATAGAGACAAAAGTATTTAAGAAATATTTTGCAAAGAAGTTTGCTATCTATAAAAACACAGAAAATGGCCAGACACAGTGGCTCAGGCTTGTAATCACAGCACTTTTGGAGGTTGAGGTCGGGAATTGCTTGAGCCCAGGAGTTCAAGACCAGCCTGGGCAACACAGTGAGACCCCATCTCTACAAAAAAATTTAAAATTAGCTGGGCGGGCATGGTGGCTCATGCCTGTAATCTCAGCACTTTGGCAGACCAAGGCAGGTGAATTACTTAAGGCCAGGAGTTCCAGAGCAGCCTGCCCAACATGGTAAAACCCCGTCTCTGCTAAAAATATAAAAATTAGTTAAGCATGGTAGTGTGTGCCTGTAATCCCAGCTACTCCAGAGGCTGAGGCAGGAGAATCACATGAACATGGGAGGTGGTTACAGTGAGCCAAGATCATGCCACTGCACTCCAGCCTAGGTGACAGAGCAAGACTCTGTCTCAAAAATAAATAAATAGGCCGGGTGCAGTGGCTTACACCTATAATCCCAGCATTTTGGGAGGCTGAGGCAGGCAGATCACTTGAGGCCAGGAGTTCGAGACCAGCCTGGCCAATATGGCAAAACCCCGTCTCTACTAAAAATACAAAAATTTAGCCAGGCCTGGTGGCGTGCACCTGTAGTCCCAGCTACTTGGGAGGCTAAGGCAGGATAATTGCTTGAACCCGGGAGACAGAGGTTGCAATGACAGAGGTTGCAGTGAGTGCACTGCACTCCATCCTGGGCGACAGAGCAAGATCTGTCTCAATAAATAAATAAATAAATAAAATAATAAATAAATAAAATTAGCTGGGTATGGTGGTATGTGCCTGTAGTCCCAGCTACTGACGAAGTTTAGGTGGGAGGATTGCTTGAGCCTGGGAGCCATGATTGTACCACTCTACTCCAGCCTGGGCAACAGAATGAGACCCTACCTCAAAAAAAAATATATAAGACAAAATAAAAAAATAAAAACAGAAACCATTTAGGCATAGTCATAATAATGTTCTTTTTGTGTCTCTATCCACCTATCAGTCTTCAGCCTTAAGGATATTATCAATTCTTTATTACTATGAATCATACCACAGTGCTTAATAATATAGATATACTAATATGTAGAAGTGAAGAGGTGAAGTCATTTAATTAATTGTCCATGTACATCATGAAGAGGTAGATGAAAACTAGTCAAGTTACATGTAACTATTTTTACTGAATGATTTTAAATATGGAAACATCACAGGTAATAGTTATTATTAGAATATTGTTAGCAAGATGCTTAAAGGCATGTAGACCTAAAATGGATGATGGAAATACTTTTCATCACTCCAGTGTTTCATATCTCTCTTTAATTACTGAATGAATATGAGGCAGGGCTTACTTCATCTTCCCTGAGATAGTGTAAAGTGTTTGGATTTTTCTGAATAACTGTTAGATTTGTTCCACCCACTCCATAGGGATAATTACTGATGCTCCAGCACCTGGAATTTCATGCCAGTGTTCATTTTAACTACAATAAGTCCTTTCATGTAATGCTTTCTGTGATACTTCCAGGTTGAAAAAATAGAAAGTGTATTTTCATCCATAGGATATCTTTAAAGAGATAACATTACATTAATAGATGCATAACATAAAATAATGACTTAAGTTTTCCCTGGTCCCAAATAAATTGTATTCTGAGTTTGAAAATGCATTATTAAATTAGTTTTAAGGCCAGATGCAGTGGCTCACACCTGTAATCCCAGCACTTTGGGAGGCCAAGGTGGGCAGATCATGAGGCCAGGAGTTCGAGACCAGCCTGGCCAACATGGTGAAACCCCATCTCTCCTAAAAATACAAAAATTAGCTGGGCATGGAGGCGCACACCTGTAGTCCCAGCTACTCAGGAGGCTGAGGCAGGAGAATTGCTTGAACCCGGCAGGTGGAGGTTGTAGTGAGCCGAGATGGCACCACTGCACTCCAGTCTGACAACAGAGTAAGACTCCGTTTCAAAAAAAAATATATAGTTTTAAGTCCAGATAACATTTATTGGATCATTTAAATCCAAATAACATTTCTTGGATCATTTAAATCTCTGTCATATTGCTGACAGTCTCTATCCTCTACCAACTTCCTGGTGATCCTTTATATCTCAGCTAAAGGTACCTTTCTCAAACACAAACATGACTACTTTAAAACTTTTAGTGCCTCCATTACCATCTTCACATCTGCACAGCCTGAAGTCTAGAGTGGCATTCCAGGTCCTCCACTCTCTGGCCCCACATCCTTTGTTCAGCCTTCACTTCTGCTGTTTTCTCAACTCATTCAAACAGAATTTTGTTAGGCACCTGTAGTATGCCATTCATGGTACTCAGTGCTGGGGAAAAAGAGTGACAGTGTACAATCCCTGCTCTTCAGGGAGCTTACAGTATGTTATGAAAAATAAGTCAAATAGCCAATAGCTATGTGACAGTGAGACATGGGCTATGCAAACCGTGTAAAGGGTGCATTGGGAGATGGGTAAGAAAACACCCTCCAACTCCAACTCCTTTCACCAAAGTGAACACAGAGCCTTACAGGGTGGCAATGGAGTGGAGAGCACTCGGTCTCCTTTTGATGGTTCCTGTTCTCTATGATCCACCTTCCTCTTGGGGAAATCTCTAATTTTTATCATCGTCACTGTAGCCTCAGGGAGGCACTGCCCTCCTTCTATTCTGCTATTCTGCCTCAAGTAGGATCTCAGTGTATTCCTTAAATCTCCAAAATTAAAAAAAAAAAAAAAAGTCTCCAAATCACAGTGGAGGCTGGGCTGGAATATTTAAACAAGACCTTACAGAACGCTAAGGGAGAAGCAGAAAGGTAAAACATAATAGGCAACTAGATAATCTATTTAAACTAATGAAATAGAGCTCCTTCAGGGATACCTTCCTTCCCAGTTGTAGAGCTGCCTCTTCCCTATCATCTCTCAGTATCCCCAGGTATGTCTGAGCTTTTGGAAGCCCAGACATGGTTAGCAAGGTCCAGAGAGATCTCATCCAAGACAGGCACATGATCCCTCAGATGGATGATACTGGGAATGTCCTTCAGGAACGACTGTAGCAATCCACAGAGCATGGCTGGCCCAGTGGGCTCGTAGGGAAAGAATATCACAAAACAAGCCTGTAAGCTCTCCATTCACATGCACCCATGGTAGAGGGGGGTTAGTTGGAGGGGGAATTATTTCATTTTAAGAGACTCGTAAGGTGGGAGGGGGTCATGGAAAGTGTCATGAGAAGGTGAGTTGAGGAGTGAAAAGTCACGTAGAAGTTAGCCAGATAGAGAAGCTAGAAATTACAATGAGTCAAATCAATTTTAGGAAAATTGAAGAGCTTTTGCAGAGAGGCCCTGAGGAGTAAGAGAGCATCTTATCTACAAGTCATCTGGTCTGGGCAGAGCTTAGTGCCTAGGGGAGAATGGAGAGGGTGGAGGCTAGATAAGAGGTCAGCTGGCCAGGAGCGGTGGCTCAAGCCTGTAATCCTAGCACTTTGGGAGGCCGAGACGGGGTGGATCACGAGGTCAGGAGATCGAGACCATGCTGGCTAACCCGGTGAAACCCTGTCTCTACTAAAAAATACAAAAAACTAGCCGGGCGAGGTGGCGGGCGCCTGTAGTCCCAGCTACTCAGGAGGCTGAGGCAGGAGAATGGCGTCAACCCAGGAGGCAGAGCTTGCAGTGAGCTGAGATCTGGCCACTGCACTCCAGCCTGGGCAACAGAGCGAGACTCCATCTCAAAAAAAAAAAAGAAAGAAAAAAAAAGGGTCAGCAAGGGTCCAGCTCCCAACGGACCACGGGTGCCATGCTGCTGAGCACAAGCCTCACCCAAAGGTGATGGGGACCGTGGGAGAATTTTACATTGTGAGCAACACAACCAGCTTCTCATTTTGAAGAAAAAAATCTCTTTAGCAGAAGTGAGGAATGATTTGGCAAAGAATGAAAAGGAAGTAGCAAGACCACTTAAGAAGCTATGGTTATAATAGGCTATAAATGAAGTCCTGCTTTAAAGCACCAGCAGTACAGATGAGCAGGCGATAAGCGGACAAACTCAAGACATTGAGAAGTTAAGAGTCAAGAAGCACTTTGGGAGGCTGAGGTGGGCTGATCACGAGGTCAGGAGATCGAGCCCATCCTGGCCAACATGGTGAAATCCTGTCTCTACTAAAAATACAAAAAGTTAGCCGGGCGTGGTGGCAGGTGCCTGTAATTACAGCTGCTCAGAAGGCTGAGGCAGGAGAATGCTCGAACCTGGGAGGCGGAGGTTGTAGTGAGCCGAGATTGCGCCACTGCACTCCAGCCTGGCGACAGAGTAAGACTCTGTCTCAAAAAAAAAAGAAGTTAGAGTCGGGGGTGAGGGCCTGAGAGGAGTCCAGACCAACACTGTCCAGTGGAACTCTCTGTGATGATGGAAATGTCCTGTAGTCTGCACGACCTAGTATGACAGCCACTGGCCACATGTGGCCACTAGGCATTTGAAATGTGGCTAGTGTGACTAACGAACTATATTTAATTCTAATTAAGGCGGGGTTTTTGTTTTTGTTTTGTTTTGTTTTTGAGACAGGGTCTCACTCTGTCACCCAGGCTGGAGTGCAGTGGTGCAATCTCAGCTCACTGCAACCTCTGCCTCCCAGGTTCAAGCAATTCTCATGCCTCCGCCTCCCAAGTAGCTGGGATTACAGGCATGCACCACCATGTCCAGCTAATTTTTGTATTTTTAGTAGAGATGGGGTTTCACCATGTTGGCCAAGCTAGTCTCGAACTCCTGACCTCAAGTGATCCGCCTGCCTCAGCCTCCCAAAGTGCTGGGATTACAGGTGTGAACCGCTGCAACTCCCAGCCTATAATTAAGTTTAAATAGCCACATGTAGCTAGTGGCGACCATACTGGGCAGTGCAGGTCTAGAATAACTCCTACGATTTGGGAACTGATTGGAGGGGTGGTACCATTCACTAAGATGGAGACTATAAGGAGGAGGATTTGGGAGAGAAGATCATGAGTTCAAGTTGGACAAGTTTCATATTAGGATACCTATAGGATAGCCAGTTGGTGGCATCCCAGGAGGTGGATATTCAAGCTGAGTCAGAGCTGGAAATGTAATTTGGACGCAATTTGTAGACTAGCAGCCAAGCTGCAACCAGGCCATAGTACCATCACCCCAAGAACAGTCTCTGTGCCTTTGCTTATCTTGTCTTGTTGGAGAACAGGCTTCGTACTATCTTTGGACAGAAATGAATCTATTTATCCTCTGCCCTTCATCCTCGGAACATATCTTGTATTGTCCTGTGTCGTGGTTTTTTTTTTTTTTTTTGGATGGCAAAAATAGATCCCAAAGGCAAAGAGAGGGCTAGAGTACAGCTGGTTTTGGCACCGACCATGCCCCTGTAAAGGTTCATGAGATGGAAGTTGCACCCTTCCCCTCAGCCACTGTCCCAGCCCAAGCACTGGCAAGAGGGCACCAGTCCTATGTCTTGGCCTGTCTCTCTGCCCTCTTTTAATTGAAAGAACCATCAGAAGTCTAGCTCCACTCCCCAGAAAGTTCTAGCTCATGGCCAGCAAGTGTCTATGGAGATCTAAACTAGCATGGCTTTATTTTTTATTTTTTTAAATTTTATTTTATTATTATTTTTTTGAGATGAGTCTCACTCTATGGCCCAGGCTGAATGCAGTGGTGCAAACTCAGTTCACTGCAACCTCTACCTCCTAGGTTGAAGCAATTCTCCTGCATCAGCCTCCCGAGCAGCTGGGATTACACGTGTGCACCACCAAGCCCAGCTAATTTTTGGTATTTTAATAGAGACAGGGTTTCACCATGTTGTCCCCAGGTTAGTCTCGAACTCCTGTGCTCAGGCAATCCGCCTACCTTGGCCTCCCAAAGTGTTGAGATTACAGGCATGAGTAACCACATCGGTCGAAACTAGCATGGCTTTGAGCTGTCTTTCATTCATCCACTCAGTGGATGTTGTCAGGTGCTTGCTATGTGCCAGGCATTATGCTAGGCACTGAGCCTGAGCACAAGCATGATCCCTGCCGTCATGAGAGAATCAGAAATCAGTCAAAGAAGCATACAAATAAATGTAAAGTTTCAACCCTGGCAACTTCTCTAAAGGAGAGAGAGGGAACTTAACATAAGCAAGGTGGCCTGGGAAACTTCCCCAAGGAAGTGACGACTGAGCTGAGGTCTGAAGGAAAACCAGGAGGTGACCATGCCAAAGGGTAGGGGTTGGGGAGTAACACAGGAGCTGTGGAAGAAGGGAGTGTGGAGCTCTTGAGGTACTGAAAGCCAGTCTGGCTGGTGCAGAGAGCAAGAGGAAGCATGTGGCCCAACCTCCCTGAGAGGCCATGGGAGATAGACCATGCAGGCCCTGGTAGGCAATGGCAGGGATTTTTGGTCTTCATCCTAAGGATAATGGGATATTATTGTTGTGTTTTGAGCAAGGAGATGAAAACAGATTGCTGTTTCTAAAAGACCATGCTGGCCAGGTGTGGTGGCTCACAACATATAATCCTAGCACTTTGGGAGGCCAAAGTGGGAGGACTGCTTGAGGCCAGGAGTTCAAGACCAGCCTGGCAATAGCAAGATCCTTTCTCTACAAAAATAAATAAATAAAAATATTGGCCAGGCCTAGTGGCACACACCTGTAAGCACTGGCTACTCAGGAGGCTGAGGCAGAAGGATCACTTGAGCCAGGAGGTCAAGGCTGTAGTGAGCTAAGATCATGCCATGGCACTCCAGCCTGGGCAACAGAGTGAGACCCTATCTCAAAAAAAAAAAGAAAAGAAAAGAAAAGAAAAAAAAGTCACCCTGACTGCAGGGAGATGAACAGAGGGGAAGGTGCCAAGCAGATGGAGGACGCCAGCTCAGAGCTGCAGCAGGAGGCCAGCTGCCTGGACGATGGTCCTGAGTACTGCAGGTGTGGCAAAGTGCCCACATCCAGAGAGGTTTAAGATACTTAGAGCTGATGTTTATTTAATTTGTAGGAAATAGTCTTGACTATAGCTGGGTAGGACTCCATTTCGGAATGTAAGTTAAATATGAAAACTTATGACTGACTAAATTTTGTTTTTTTCTCCTATGTAGGCAATTGATTGAAGGAACAGAAGTGCTTAAACAACTAGAATTAGTTCCAACAGAGAATGAAAGACCAATACATATGTGTAGAATTACTGACAGTGGAGATCCTTATGCTTGATTTTCATATCAATATTTTCTGTGATAATTTATTACTGTGTATCTGATCAGCTGTTTGTAGATTTAATTAAACAGTACTTGATAAATTGTAATTTGAAAGCCATGGCAGACACTGTAGGTTGCCTCATCGACACCCAATACCTCCCCATCTTCCTTTCCTGTCATAGAGACTGTGAAAGGACAATACTCAGTTTCCTAGACTCCTTCTCAGCCACGGGTGGCCACAAGAGATGGTTGTGGCCAGTGAGACAGGAGTAGAATGCCAGTGGTCCTGCCCCTTCCCCTTCATCCTGTCTGGAATGTGGAGAGGCTGGAGCTGCAGCTGTCATCTTGTGGCCATAAAGAAAAGGCCGAGGCCAGGCGCGGTAGCTCATGCCTGTAATCCCAGCACTTGGGAGGCCGAGGCAGGTGGATCACGAGGTCAAGAGATCGAGACCATCCTGGCCAACATGGTGAAACCCTGTCTCTACTAAAACTATAAAAATTAGCTGGGCATGGTGGCATGCACCTGTAGTCCCAGCTACTCGGGAAGCTGAGACAGAAGAATCACTTGAACCTGGGAGGCAAAGATTGCAGTGAGCCGAGATTCTGCCACTGAACTCCAGCCTGGCGACAGAGTGAGACTCTGTCTCAAAAACAAAAACAAACAAACAAAAAAACAACAAAAACGGCCAAGTACTGCAGAGATGTCCGCCCCAATCTCTTGAGCTGCAGAACCAATACCAGCAACCACCTACTCTGGACTTCTTAGTATCTGAGACTAACAGAGCCCTGTATTGTGGTGTTTATGTTACTGTTGGTTGAGAATTTTGTTACTTGTAGACAAAAAAAATTCTTAATTTAGCAACATACTTGATAGCCTAAGACATTTGTAATAAAATTATGTTCTTATTTGTAACTACACGTACTCCCAGGAGAAACTTGGTAAGTAACCAAATAGGAATGATGCAAAAGAAAAAGCAATTCATTTTAATATTTTATTGTTTATACATAGCATTCAGAAAGGGTATCTATACTTTGGATGTTTTCATACATGACATGAACATCATCCTTATCTCTCTGAGCCATACCAACCCTGTGAAAACCAAGGGATTGTGTTACAGTCTCCGTGGTGGCTGACTTATGTGATGTTACTGGAGATTCAGCTTTATCACTACTCTGTAGTCTAAAGTTCTCAAGCTCGTATCACCTGGGGAGCTTTTAAAATGTAACCTAACATTGTCCCTGACCTACTGAGGCAGAGTTCCCAGTCGTCGGGCAGAGATTCTGTGTTTATTTGGTTCTTTCCCCAGGGTTCCCAGGCATGGGGCACAGATTCTGTGTGCATTTAGCTCTTTCCCCAGGGTTCCCATTTAGACAGCTGGGCACTAGTCATCTGGGAATCACTGCAAGGTATAAGGAACTGGTTCCAGCCCCCATGGTGTAGTGTAGTCAGCAGAGTGCTTGACTCTGCTGTTGGTGACCTTGCTCAGCTCCTGTTACACCACTACCCTATGCCCTTGCTCTGCCCAGACTGAGGGGGCTTTTCTTTTCTTTTTTTTTTTATTTTTTGAGACGGAGTCTCGCTCTGTCGCCCAGGCTGGAGTGCAGTGGCGCAATCTTGGCTTACTGCAAGCTCTGCTTCCGGGTTCGCACCATTCTCCTGCCTCAGCCTCCTGAGTAGCTGGGACTACAGGCGCCCGCCACCACGCCTGGCTAATTTTTTGTATTTTCAGTAGAGACGGGGTTTCACCATGTTAGCCAGGATGGTCTCAATCTCCTGACCTCGTGACCTGCCTAAACCTTGGCCTCCCAAAGTGCTGGGATTACAGGCGTGAGCCACCACGCCCAGCCGAGAGTGCTTTTCTTACGCTAAGCAGAATGAGGTTTGTCTTCCAAGAACAATCTCTATTTACATCAGTCTTAAAGGGGCAGGCTTCTAATAGATATGGGGCTTGCCAAAAGTAGGCATAGACTTTTTTTTTCTTTTGAAATAATTATAGATTCACAGGAAGTTGCAAAAAAAAGTACAGAGCAGTCCTGTGTATCTTTCACCCATTTTCCCCAGTGGTTACACTTACAAAACGGTAGTACAATATCAAAACCAGGCAGTTGACATTGGTACAATGTGTGTATGCCATTTTATCATGAGTATAATCATGTAACCAATACTACAGAGAAAATATAGAACCTTTCCAGCACCTCAAAGATCCCCTTCCAGTACCCTTTTATAGTCACACCCGCTCGCCTGCACCCTGCCATCCCTAACTCCTGACAACCGGCATTTGCTTATTTTTATGACAGCTTTATTGCTATATGACATATGCTTTATGCTAAGACCTGAGGTGGATGGGAGGAAGCAGACCGCCTATGTTACATTCTCAATTGACCCAGAGCAGCATAGTGTTAAGAATGTGTGTTCTAGAGCCAGACTGCCAGGGTTCAAATCCTGGCTCTGCCATTCCCTAGCTGCACAAACTCAGGCAAGAACTTTTCTGTGCCTCAATTCCTTCATCCGAGAAACAGTGGTACCTACCACATAGGATTGTTGTGAGGGTTCCATGAATCAATAATTTGTATAGAGAACCTGTAAGAGGACCTGGTCTGCTGTAAGCGCTCGATAAATTTAATAATAAATTACTAATGTGTAACCATCAGGGCTGGTCTGCTGTAAGCGCTTGATACATGTAATAATAAATTACTAATGTGTAATCTTCAGGGTGTAGCCTCAGAGCTTGGACTTTCTGAAAGCTCTCCAATGACTGACAGCCAGATTTGGGAATCCCTGAGGAGAGTCTCCCTCTTCATGTGCTCGCAGACTTCTGGGCAGTCTGAGAACTTGGGTGATTTGTCTGCAGCTTCCAGACTCTCTCACTGGGCCTTTGCCCAGGTTCCTCAGGTCACACTGGGGACCTCTCAGACAAAAGGGAGATGGGCTTGCCACCAGGATTCAAAACAATTGGTGAATGAAAACTGATTCTTTGCAAGGAGCCCAGTTAAAACACATGGCAAGCGTTGCTCATGTAATAACAAGCAGCAGGGCGGTTCTTACTGGTGATGAACCTATGTATTAACGGCATTAGGCATTTTATCTGATGTTGTGAAAGAACTGGAATATTTGCGTGGGTGTAAGAAACTGATTCCAGCTCCCTTTGTCAGCAGCAATAGAAAGAGAGAACTCTGCCAGTCTTCTAAAGGATGGCGAGTTCATGTTCCCTTTGTTCACTCTAACTTTCCACTTCTGGGCTGCAGAAACCTCAACCACAGATCTATGCAGCGGTTCTTATCACCAGCACTTAAAAGTATACACAGGCCGGGCGCGGTGGCTCAAGCCTGTAATCCCAGCACTTTGGGAGGCCGAGACGGGCGGATCACGAGGTCAGGAGATGGAGACCATCCTGGCTAACCCGGTGAAACCCCGTCTCTACTAAAAAATACAAAAAACTAGCCGGGCGAGGTGGCAGCGCCTGTAGTCCCAGCTACTCGGGAGGCTGAGGCAGGAGAATGGCGTGAACACGAGAGGCAGAGCTTGCAGTGAGCCGAGATCCGGCCACTGCACTCCAGCCTGGGCGACAGAGCGAGACTCCGTCTCAAAAAAAAAAAAAAAAAAAAAAAAGTATACACACTGATACTTCTGTGCTAGAATGATTTGTATGTTTAACCTCCTGGTTGAAGAAACTGGTTGTCAGAAAGACTCAAAAGTTTACTCCAACGAACTCCACACGTAAGACTTTGATGTAACCAAACTGCAATACGTTAATTAAACAGAAGGGATTCTAGATTTTCCCACATCTATAGATAGGACCATAAAGGCCTTCTGATGATTTACACAAAATGCTAAGTTATATATCTAAACTTGCCCTAAATGCTGATATGGCAAAGTCAAGTACATACACTGTATCTTATACTAGGCCATGTGAATAAGGGAGTGCATATCTAAACATTTTTTCTTCTATGGGGAGATTTCTTCTATGGGGAAGTATTTAAAATTCTATCCAAGGAATTTGTTTGCCCCTACTGCAAACACTGCTGGTTATTTGTTAAGGAATGGATAGTCTGGCAACCTCAGGATTCCAGACCCGAGTTTTTATACATATTTTAAATGAAGTATATTTGTTTGAGAACCACCTGTCCAGCAATGTGATGGTCAAATCACTTACCCTTTCACTGTCCTCATTTGTAAAAAATAACAGAAGTTGAGTTGCTAGCTTTCTTCTGGCTCTAAAACTTCAGTGATTTTTCTGAGTAAATGTATAAAATAAAAATTTCTTCAGTGAAATGGGGGTACATCTGCCTCAGTGTTCTGAGGATTGATATAGCAAGTGAAGGTGCTTCTAATAATGCTTGGCACACAGATATTCCGTAAGAATTAGTTTCCTTTCTGAAACATCTCCCCGCAAAAACCAGTCAAGCTACCACTAAGAGAATATCATCATCATCATTTCAAGAAATATCAAGCCCTTTTTATACTGAGTATTAGCAGTTCTCACTAACACCAGATTAACTGTCAATCAACTGAACTAATTCAAAGGTATAAAATTAAAATTGGTCTCTACCACACCTAGCAATATTCTCTCTTATGGAGATTTAATTTTTTAAACTATATTGATCTTACCATCCCCTACACTTCCCAAAAGTGGAATCACCACCACTTAAATCTGGCAAGTCTTAAGACTTTCGTATATCATATGAAATATTGGTGACAAACTCAGTAGTAATGTATACAACATGAATTACAAGTTGCATATTTGATAGAGGGCCTTGATAAATCACAGGTTCTTTTACTTTAGCATGCGTCAGAATGCCGGGGCCTGTCAAACACAGATTGCTGGACCTCAGAGTTTCTGATCCAGTGGCTCTGGGTAGGGCTGGAGAATTTGAACAAGTTCAAGGTGATGCTGCTGCTGCTGCTACTGCTGCTGGTCTGGAGACCACACTTTAAGAACCGATGGGATATAAGAGACAGATCTATGAGAGACCTGTGGCACACAGGTATGTAGAAAAGTCATAACAGTAAAGTGTAACCTACAACAGAAGAGGAAGAATGAAGGAAACTGACAAGAAACCTTGATTTCATCAAGGCAGCAGAGGAGGTATGTTATGTTGACCAATTAGACAGTGACCAGAACCCTGTTGCAAGGTGCTGAGGTTCTTAGCCGGGTCAGATGTGAGACCTCCAAGTGCTGGACAGTGGCAACGTGGTAGTCAGGTTATTGGGGAGGGACTTGGACACTTGGGCTGCTCAGGACATGCACTTTGCCAGTCAACACAGAATTACAAAATATTTTAATAACCAGAGTGGCCATGAGGTGTGTTCTGGCTGAAAATCAGCTCTCCAAGACAGGATCGGAAGAAGCACGGTGAATACCTAGGGACAAGGGGAAGTCATAGCTAATCCAAGATAGCAGCAAGTCGCCTGAGGTGTAGTTTAGCTTGAACTTGGAGGTTATTCCTAAGGAACAAGTCAGGAAAAGGCTTCATTTCCTAAAGGACCAAAAGATGTGATGCAAAGAGCTCTAGCAGACCCAGGGTTTGAAGCAGAAAAAAATGCATCTCAGGCTGGGCGTGGTGGCTCTTTGGGAGGCTGAGGCGGGCGGATCACAAGGTCAGGAGATTGAGACCATCCTGGCTAACATGGTGAAACCCTGTCTCTACTAAAAATACAAAAAATTAGCTGGGCATGGTGGCCGGCGCCTGTAGTCCCAGCTACTCAGGAGGCTGAGGCAGGAGAATGGCGTGGACCCGGGAGGCGGAGCTTGCAGTGAGCGGAGATCATGCCACTGCACTCCAGCCTGGGTGACAGAGTAAGACTCCATCTCAAAAAAACAAAACAAAACAAAACAAAAATCATGCATCTCAGGTGCCAGCCTAAAGGGAACCTGGGCTGGGGCCATGACTCCTGCACAACCAGGAGGTTTGTGCTGTTTGTGCGTTCACCTGACATATGTTTGTAAAGAAAGAAGCAAAAACAGTATGTCTTGATGTAATTTTGTAGATGAATCACTGTTAAGAATTGCAGGCCTGGCATGGTGGCTCATGCTTGTAATCCCTGCACTTTGGGAGGCCGGGGGGCGGGGCGGAGAAGATTGCTTGAGCTCAGCAGTTCTAGACCAGCCTGAGCAACATGGTGAAAACCCATCTCAAGCAAAAATACAAAAAATTAGCCGGGTGTGGTGGCACACCCAGCTATTCAGGAAACTGAGGTGGGAGGATCACTTGAGCCCAGGGAGGCATAGGTTGCAGTGAGCTTAGATTGCACCAGTTTGACTGAAACAAGCCAGCTCGTTCATTTATTCATTTTTTTCTCAAAAAAGAAAAAAAAATTGCAGCGGTTTAGGAGAGAATACTTTTGTGCAAGCCATAGTGTAAAGCAGTGTTCTCCAACTTTTTTTTTTTTTTTTTAATGAGATGGAGTCTTGCTCTGTCACCCAGCTGGAGTGCAATGGCATGATCTTGGCTCACTGCAACCCCCACCTCCTGGGTTCAAGCAATTTTCCTGCCTCAGCCTCTCAAGAAGCTGGGATTACAGGTGCCCGCCATCACACCTGGCTAATTTTTGTATTTTCAGCAGAGACGGGGTTTTGCCATGTTGGCCAGGCTGGTCTCAAACTCCTGACCTCAGGTGATCCGCCGCCTTGGCCTCCCAAAGTGCTGGCATTACAGGCGTGAGCCACTGCATCTGGCTGTTCTCCAACTTTAAGACTACACACATGTACATATCTTCTGGGAATCTTGTTAAAATGTAGGTTCTGATTCAGGAGATCTGAGGGGGAGGCCTGAAGTTCGGCATTTCTGATGCATTTCCACATGATATAAATGATACTGGTTCGAGAACCACACTCTGAAAAGCAAGGGTAAAGAACTGGTTTTCCAACTAAGCTGCAGATTAGAAACACCTGGGAAGCTTTTAAAACTCCTGATGCTCAGACATTATTCCAGACCAATTAAATCAGTACCTAGGCATTAGTATCAGTATTTTTCAACACCCACCACCACCACTGCTGCCACCAGGTAATTCCAATGTGCAGCCAAGGTTAACAACAACTGCTCTGAAGTATCATGTTCCCCTCTGGTGCCCTGGCACATTTTTCAAAGAAACATCCATAAAATGGAGAGCCTCCTAATGAGAGTATCTCTAGAATTTCACCCTCAATCTTAATCACAATATTAATAGTAAGACTCTGCATATACAGTTTTAGCTCACTAATATTTGATTTCTCTTTGTCAAAACGGATTCAAATACTACTAAATGAGCTTTAATATATGCTGTTAAAACTCTCTTATAGACGCCAGCCCTTGCTTCCCACCCATACTCCTCTAGATGAATCTGCCCTGACCCACAGCTGAAGAGTTCAGGGAGCTATTTGTAGCAGCTGCCCTCCTACGCTTATTTTTTTATTCTATTCTATTCTATTCTATTCTATTCTATTCTATTCTATTCTATTCTTTTATTTTTTGAGGCGGAGTCTCACTCTGTTGCCCAGGCTGGAAGGCAGTGGTGCAATCTTCGCTCACTGCAACCTCTGCCTCCCAGGTTCAATAGATTCTTCTGCCTCAACCTCCCAAGTAGCTGGGATTACAGGTGCCTGCCACCACGCCGAGCTCCTCCTGTACTTTTCAATGCAGCTAATTATTGGCAAGGGTGGACAACTGACTGAAATAAGCCAGTCTGTTCATTTATTCATTTAAAAAAAAATTAAGTGCAGGGAATAAATTGG